GATCAGAGGCTGGAAAACAGTTACTACATAGCAATGACTTATGGTTTTTGGTGATCTACATAGGAAAGGATCAATTGAGCTACAGGAGAGCTATAAAATGGAGAGCTGCTTGTCTTATTTCATGCCTAAGCCTGACCAGGAACAGAAACTGGCATTCCTTCTCCCTGTCTTTCCTCAAAAGGTTAGTTGGCAATCTCACAAGGAACAGACACTCAGTAAGGTCAGGCATAAACTGCCCGCCCTGCTGACTCTTTTTTTAAGCCAAAAAGAGGGAAGGCATTGCCCTTTAACAAATGCTGTTGGAGCATTCACCTAGCACATGGGAAACCAAATTTCGTATCTAAACTCAGAGGATTCAAACGTTCACCTCCCACTATTCAGAAAGAGCCCTAACAACCGATCAGTAGGTGTTTTGAGAATGTGTTGGGAGGGCTGTCGAGGACGTGCTCAGCCTGGCCTCCTGAGGTTCTCTGTGGTGCATGAGAACACGTAACTCCTGATTCACATGGCTGGAGAGGAGCAGAAGGAACATGACTCACCATCTCAATTTTAGGTCACTTGCTGTAGGAAGGAGGGATACTACACCTGGCTTCTGCTAATCACTCCCAAATGATTCTTTCAACAGAAAAGCATAATTAGAGAGACATAAACTGCAGCAAAGAATGTGTGAAAACAAGGGCAGTCTCACACCTTTTAAGAATTATGATTTATTGAAAAGTGTTCTAGAAGTCAATTTCCTTTCTGATCAACAACAAGGCTCATGCCGGGGAAAGACAGTTTGTCCATCAAGAGAAAGCTAAAACTGCCTCTACTGCAAGTGATCAGCTGTCAGAAAATCCCATACTCCCATGCGGCTTTCAATTTTCCATTATGGAAGATCCAAATGCTAAGATCCGATTTGGCCTCTTGGCCAAACTCTCACCCTATCTCCTAAAACAATAATCAGAGCGTAACCTTCACGATAAAATACTCCCTCTGCTAAAGAAAACAGGCTCCAGACCCACCTTGAGCAGTTCTGTGCCCTTGTGTACGTAAAGATCTGTATAACTCACATCTTGCTATCTGTCTTCTCCATAGCATCTCTAAGTATATCCTACCTTGCATCCACTTTACAGGGACAGAGTTCATATCAGCAGAGTCAGTTTCTCTGTTGCTGTGTGTTCTCTCCTACAGGTACAGTAAATGAACTGCTTCTCTTCTGACCTGCTCTGAATTGTATTCTGTTTTTTCTACACCACCAGTGATAAAAGAGGTTCCCAGTCAGTGGTTTGTGGTCACAATCAATGTGAGGAACTGTTGCTTGTGGTCTGTGGCTAAGTTACTGGTCATGTCATCCTGGATTTTTTTTTTTGCAGCCACTGAAAGAAAAAGCAAATATTAAAGAGGGAGGTTTTCAAAGGCAGAAAAGAGAAAAAGTGCCCCAAACTTAAAAAAATTTCAAGGGCAGTTGGACTCTTCAACTACATTTCATGATTTTTCAACATTCCATGAGCATTTTCCTAATAGCACTTTTGCACAGGCAGCTCTTGCAACTAGTGCAGTAGAAGAATGTGACCTCTCATAGAAGAAAAGATGAATCATGTGATCATGAGTTGGAAAGGAGGCATCTGTGAGGTGATCTGTGTTGGAATCAGGTCCTACTCATAATGAAATATTAATTTCTAGTGTTGATGGCTTGAAAGATATTAATTCTAACCTTTTTTTTTTCCTGGTTCTGACTTACTGGAAAGGCATTTCTTTGCACACACTTTGGAATGAAAAGAGCAAATCTTGGACTTTAGACAGGTACAATTTTCTGTGCATTATTCCAGTGATAACATACTGGTTCCAATATCCTTTGTACTTGCTTCATGTTCTGGTTTTCTTTTTTTCCCAGCTGGCAGTTGGCAGGCACCAGTCACTGGGTACTGCAGGGGTATCTCTAAGCCCATAGGAAGATAAGTGCCACATATTGATGCAATTAATTTAATGAGATGCATCAGGAAAAAACAGCTATAGCAATAGGCTTTCTGATTTCTCATTGCTGTTGAAAACTGCATTTTTCAAGAGTTTTCAACATAAACAAAGTGTGATACATGCAATTTAACCTAAGGACCGATGTAAGAATGTTTTAACTGCAGTTCCAAGGTCCGTGCTCTTTCCCAAATCAGTGCCTCCCAACAGCAGATATCAAATTGATCACGCTGGTTCCACAGGTACCAGAAGAGATCTGAACATGTTATTGTACACCCAGTGGTTACACCCCAACACACACACTTATATCCACCAGTCAGCACTTTTCCTAAATGAACTGCAGATAAAATGTATTCCTTCCCATTTAGACAAACTTATATATAGAACCAGGAAGAAACTGATTTGCAAAATAAACTTCCTTGAATGAGCTCTAACAGGCAGCACATAATTTAAGTTGGTGGGAAGGGCCCTGAAGACATTACTGCCCATTCATGGACCAATGGAG